GATCTCCTTCCTGGCGGAGACGTTAACACGCTTCGGACCGCGAAATCGCGCGCGGCGACAAAGAAGGTACTTTCAGCCGTTAGCCAAGGATAGGAACAAGAACTCAGTTTTTAATTGTATCCAAAAGTATCTATGTTGTACACAATACACATCATTATTGGAACTACGGTTTTTCTCTTTGACGAAGCAAAGAAAAGTTGCGACGTCGCACGCGTCGTTCGCGTTGCCGCGCCGTTGCAACTGTTGTTCGAGTTCTCTTCATATTTCTTAAACAATTATCGGCGGCACAGCCTTACAGAGTCATTTGAAAAGGAGGAGCTCAGGACTTTGATTTGATAACCTTGGACAAAAAGAAAACCCCTTGCAAACACTAAAAAAATCCTTAGAAGGCGCGTGCTGCACCTTGTGCAGCACCGGTAAACGTGTTAATGCATGCGGCCCTAAGTTTATTAAAGGGCATGCACCCCAGCGTAAGCTCATGTTAAACATAAGCGCAGCGAAAACATTTTGACAAATATGCTTCATGCTCTGGGTCTGTAAGCATTGTGCTTTCTAGAGTTCAAATCAGGCTATGACAGCTCTTGACCTTTTAAAGGAGCATCGAATTGAACTCCAATTTTATTAGTCGTTTGAGAGACATCAAGTTTTTGTATTGACAGAAATTTTTATAAGCAAACGAGCGACCTATTTCACCTTCATTTAATCAGCTACACTTTCACGACCAAGGTTTTGGCGAGATTGCTTTCATCAAAGTTTGCATAGGAGGCTAGATACATTACTGTCCAATTGTTAGTCATACTTCTCAGGCGCTTACGGTCACTCTAAACTTTTAGCCAATGGTAAAACATCCTTGCTATCTTCATCAGTTTCCTCAGTTTCTACAACCATTAACCGATCATATCTAGATTGACAGACCCAATCAAGTTGAGCGAAACATCAATCGCGGTTATAAACTTGCTTTGATTTGTTCTTAATACGCTCCACACTTTCTTGAATCGACCACCCCTCAGTGACTTCTCTACAGAATTTTAAAAAGTATTTTGTCTGTGTCCAAATCAATTTTTGATGCGTATTTGTATTGTGTTCACTAAACTTAGAAACCATCGTTTCCGTAAAAATCAGGTTTCTCCGTGGTTTTTTTTAATCTCTATTTGGGTTTAACACAGTTAGTACGGCTTTCCACGTCTCTTAAAATGCTTGATACGAAGAAAAAAAACGTATTTCACAAACAACTCTGCACACGATCTGAAGGCCCATTTAATATAGTTTCCTACATGGTTTTAGTTTCATAGAAATGAGTTTGTTTGAGGTCTTGAAACAAGAGAAACTACGTCCAATTTCATGATTCTCTCGTCAAAAGAGTCCAGCTCTAGGATTTTTATATTTTATCTTCAAAAACTTCAAAAGCGTGCAAAATCTTTGAAAAACACGATGAGATGTAGAGAGTTGTGCTACAACTAAAAATCAAATAAGACCTTCAAAAATTTTCGACTCAAAAAGTTTTTAACGCGAACTTGCACGATTGTCTGGTATAGTCTGGCAACATGAAAAAATCTTTGTTTGCAAGCTGCTGGAATCTGTTACGTTGGCTAGTAGATGATTTCGTTTTGACATGCAACAATCTCTACAACAATTCAAATGACTGTTATTTAGCTACCAGTGCGTCAGCTCTGCTTCGCAGAGGCTCGCACTGGTCCTACTATCCACGTGCCTTCTTCAAAGTCGTAAAATGATGTCTTTAAAACCTACCGCACGATGCCGAAGATCAGGAATGAATTGTAAACAACTACTCATTCTAAAAGCTTTTTATATAAGATCGGTGATTTTGAGAGGACATAAGTACCTTTCAAAAAATTAGTTGTGGGTTTGGTTGCTTACTGGAGTTATAATTGCTTGATAGTCGCCATAAGGATGGTGACAATTGTGAGTTACATCTTCAAGCAAAAATCTTCTTGAATTTAGGTAAAACTTGACCAATCGACTATCTAGGCGATTATTCCTTTTGGGCGCCGTTCTTGCGTGAAAGTAGATTTTTTGCTCACTTTTCGGGCTAGAGTCCATGGTTTGCGGAGTTACTTGTTAAATAAATCCAGATTTTGGAAAAGTCCAATTACAGGCCCACTTCGCCGCGCCAGAAGTCGCATGGATCCGTTTGGCGCACAATTTTCATACGTTCCACTTATCGGATCGGCTTGTGCTTTTGCACACTTTACCTACATGCTGATAGGGTGCTATGACCAAAATTCTGACTCAAGACCATTAACTTCGCTCTACGAATTTGTGACAGACAGGAATTCAACACACAGATAGACAAAGGTAAACAACCCTTAGCCCGTTATTATAGTTACTAGTTGGCTTTCCCGGTCCAGCCCGGGCCTTGTTCCGTTCACCTGCGCTGCAAGCCCCTCCCCCCTCCCCCTATACGTTATGAATGTTTTACCCTGGGACATTCGCTTCAAACCGCATCCTCGTGATTCTGAGGTAAAAATGAGCTTCACCGCCTTCCTTTCATGATTATGGGAGAATGCTTTATTGAACATGTAAGCCTTCAATTCATTAAAAAAACGTAAACAAATCAGTAAATCCATAGAAGGATCTAGCGAATCTCCGCAAAAAGTAGCCTATCATCTGCGTGGAGTCGAAAACATATGTGTGCAAAGGTCAGCTGAATCGGTTGAGCGCGTTTCTATAACGCACATAGCCTCCAAACTCACAATTTTGAGTATTTTATATATTAGGTCGTCCCGAAAGTTCTTGCGCACGATTTTCAAAAATTCACAACTTCTGATTTTTCCAACCGATTTGACTGCTTTTAATTTTGTATGAAAGAGCAAGTCATGCTCTTTATAATGACATCTTAGTTGCTTATCAATGATCATCTGTTGCATAGATAGGAGCGATAGAAGAAAATTGGACAAAATTCGAATTTTTCTTGTAGGGTCATAAAAAATCGGACTTGCAACAAAAATCGGAGCAGTCAGTATTATAGGTTCTGTTACCTGCTCTTTCTAACAATGCAAATTTGCGCCGATTGATCGTCTCTATGAAAAGTTATGATTTCCCCGAACAGTGCCAAAATAAATCAACTGCGCCCTTTTGTAATGCTTGCTCGAAAATCACAACTTTCTATAGAGACGCTTAATTAGCGCAGACTTTGCACGGTTAGAAAGAGCTGGTGAAAAAACCTACAATACCGACTGTTCCGATTTTTGTTGCAAGTTTCCGATTTTCTATGACCCTACACAGAAAATTCAAATTTTGACCAATTTTATTCTATCGCTTCTATCTATGCAAAAGACGAACATTAATAAGCAGCTAAGATGTTCTTAAGAGTATGACTTACTCTTTCATACAAAAATAGAAGCAGTCAAATCGATTGCAGAAATCAGAAGTTATGAATTCTTGAAAATCGTGCGCAAGAACTTTCGGGACGGCCTAATATATAGATATAGATATAGATGATGAGTATTTTGTGACTGGATAGCTTCGAACCTCTGCTATACTCGTTATGTAAAATTGTCTATAAAGACAAGAGACAGTAATTACTTTATACAGCTAAACTTCTGAAAATCACTGTCTCAAATTTCCCATGTCTATCATGCTGTAGTATGTGCACAGATGAGATACTGGGTTGTTGTATACATACAACCTTGGGCTGTGAGAACCACAATCAAGATTGTGACCTGCTGTTTGAAATTTCCATAGCCAAAAATGTGAAAGATAGGTTTGCGCGCGGAGGTCAATTTTTGGATTAGTCCGGGACACTTGATTTTGACCATCTGTGGCAATACAAATAGTTGGAAATATCAAAATGTATGTATGGGTACTCGCGCACTTTATACCCAATTTCATTTTGCTTTTTAGACCGAGATTCTCGAAAATTAGAAAAAACCATTAGCATCATTTCATTTTCTTGTACCAATTCGTCTTTGAAATAATTTTCGAGCAAGCAGTGCTAACTTTTCGATTCCCCTTAAACTCTTTCCAGTGGTACCATCAGTTTATATACTTTATCTGTGACAATTCTACAAACCGTCAAAAAATCAAAAACATTTTTAATCAACTCACAAGGGAGGGATGATTGGTCAAAGTAGTCTTTTGAGATGGGTTGTTGTAAACCATGTTGGAGGACATAAAATGCTGATACCAAATCTCTCTTCATTATTTGTGGCGCGTTCATGCACGAGAACTTATGAGCATTTATTATAGAAAAAAACTGAATGTGCAGTAATATAAAAACAGTTGTAACATTTTTTCTCACCAAGTGGACCAATGGTAATCTTTCCAGCTCTCTATAAAATTGCTCTTAGAAGAGATAAATCCACACTCCGGTTGTCTCACTCAAGCGCTGGGAAAATTTTTGCAGTTGTTTTTATCCCGGTAAAACCTTCCCTTTTTACAAACTTATAACCTCGACCAGGAAAGCTCCGCAGATAAGAAGAACAGATTTAGAATCAACATCTTACGCCCTTCAAAATCGTACACAAAACATCGCAAAAGACCACTTCGAATGATCGCCTTTCCCTTGTCAGTGTAATGAAAGTGTTGATGATTTGTTGATTTGGCAATATCTAGGTTTAGCGAACAATGAAAAAAAATCGAGTGTCAGGTTTTGCAATAGAAGCACCTGAGACCATAAACTTCTCAAGCACAATGTAAACTTGCTGCATTGAGACAATGCTGATCACTAAGTAGAGATCAAGGGTATCTTGCAATCGCTAAGTTTCTGTGTAATAAGCATTGTGATACCAAGATTTTTGGCCATTTGCGCGCTGAGATTCTCTTGTGAGGCAGTTACTTTGATAATTTTTCGGCAAGCAGGTAACGTCTACTCATTTATTGTTCTGTTCGTTTTCAGATTCGGTGAGTTTTTGAATCTTCTAGGAACATTTCAAAGTTTTGCTTTCCGTCACTTAAAAGCAGATCAGCGTTTTACTGCTTGCCTTTATTGTCATTGAAAAATTTACTGAGGAAATTTTTGAATTAAAAAACCAACTCACATAATATAATCACACATCCGAATACTTTGAGGAGTTTGGTGCACATCCTTTAGTTATCACCACAAATCTCAGGTAAAAGATAGGCACAATCTTTGGAACCTGCAAGCTATGCTAAGACATTGTGACAAAACAACCGAAAAGGAGGATTTTGACCAGAAAGTTGATTGGATGATTCAATGTCTCTACACGCGATAAGAGATTCTACGTTCTTCGCAAATATGATTGGGCTGATAGACTTCAGAATCTCTAGAGGCTTTCTAAAAAAATTTAGGAGGATGCTTACAAGTTTCCCGCATTATCACTTGTGTACCACAAGCTCTTGAAAGTGCAGGTTAGCTACAAGACCTTGTCTTCGAGAATTATCGAATTTACTCGCATTTCCAACTTTTTCATGCTAATTTGAGCTAACTGATATTTCTTTTAAATGCTAGCTCTTGTAGAACAGCTGAAAATTTGTACTTTTAATACAGTCTCGGCAAAACCGACTTTTCGATTACCGCCGTTTCGGACCAAAGCATTTTTCGCTTTGTCAAACTCACGACCCACCAGTGTGTCGTATTCCAAAAAGTGGCCTACTTGGAAAAATTCGAAACGTGTATCTGAGAATTTCCCCACAAAAGTTATCGAAGGCGCTAATTATCAAAATATGATTTATTTCATTTTTTGACATTATACGGTACCCATCACCATGGATTTTCATGAAAAATTGTTTTTTGTGTTTTGGGGTTATTTTACGTGCTGATCACGATTATAATGCCCAAAGGGACTACTGCAAAAAGATAGTAGAATTCCCCTTCCAGAAACTGATGTAAGAATACGTTGTTAGATTTTGAGAGTTTTAGTTTCATCAGTTTTATGCCCTCCCGGTATTTCTCGTGCATGCAAACCTGAATCTTCAAAAACAGCACCACTGCGAAAAAAATTGAGCTAAAGTCTATGCCTTATCTCCATTTACGGCACACCTACCGTAACATTACATTACGGTATCCCGACCCCGGACCACTCTGGCTGGAGCTTCGCTAAAGTGCCCCAATCATTTGCCAAAACCCCGCAGAATTCCATCGTAAACTGGCAAAGCTAAAGCTTCAGGAATCTTACGACCCACCGGTTGGTCGTACTGTCCAAGGCGGCAGAACACATACGTACCCGCCAGTGGATCGTATTGTCGTGAATGTGTTAAAGTTTTGCGGTACGCAGTGATAGATGTGTAAACAGCAGCATTGTTTCGTGAGTAGAAATTAAAGCAGCATAATGAATGTTTGAGGTGGACCGCACATGCTCAAGCAAGCTAAAACTTCTATAGGTTTCTGTGATCTATCTTGGCGCAAGATTTATAAACAGCACAGCCTAATAATATAGGGGTTTCTTTACTTTATGTAGTAAATATTTTTTTACCAGTTTCAAGAGCATCGATGAAGCTGTTATAGAGTTTTCACACATTTTCTGGGTCGCACATTGCACTTTTTATCCCCTTTACAACAGTCATGCTCTCATACTGCAATCTTCAAGCACTTGTCAAAGGTATGCTAGCACTTTGCAGTAATTGCTTTTATTAGGTTGTCAAGAAAATAATGTCGCTTTTCATTTACCTGTTATGGCACCGCACCCAGGTAAACTACGAGAATACACGAGAGTACTGCTCAAGAAAGAAAGCAAGTTATACAAATTCAGATGCTACTATCGCGCTAAGGTTGTTTTACGTGAAGTTCAAAATGTCAGGTTGAAAAATAAGTTCGTTTTGACATGCAATTTTAAGGCTTTTAACAATTCATATAACAGTTACTTGGAAAAAAATTTTTGTGGGAGGTAGTTACATACCCCTACTTTCATCAGGTTTTCAGAAATTTTCTTCATTAACAAATGATAATCATGTCCTTTTATGGCTACCCTCTTAGAACACCACTTTCTAGCATTCTAATTTTTGATTTCAGCTTGTAGTGAGTGCACCGATGAGCAAACTGATGATCGAATACATACAAACTTTGCCTACAGGCGAACTACAATGGGACTTGTGAGCTGCTGTTGTGAATTAGTGCAGCCAAACATGTGAGAATTTCCAGGCATTTGCGCGTCAGTTTTGCGAAGTCCAGATTGTTCTAATTTGACCATTTACGACCATGTAAATGATTGAAAATCCAAAAATTATGTTATGTGGGGTATAAACTTACAATTTAGAACATGTTTTTTGAAAAAGTGGTGAAAAAAGATAGTGTATTTCTTCCTGCACCGTTTCGCTAGGAAGAATTTTTTCTTTTTCAAATAAAAAAGTGACCATCCAATTCTCCTTGATTTGCTCTTTCCAGCATTAACATGCAATCATACATTTTGTTACTAACACTAAAACCGTCGAAAATGACCAAACCTATCTTTCCTAATAAAACCTAATAAAATTAAGAAAATCTGAATGCTCATAGGAACGAAAAAAATGGACCCCATCAAAAATTTTTCAAGGACTCCTCATTCGCACACATCTATACTATCCAAAGATATATTTCCAACTGCTGTACTCTCCTTGACTTGAAACTGAGAAGTCGAAAGCTTTCTATTATCCTTAAAGCAATGTTAGGTCGTTCTTCATATGTAGTTCTATATTACAAGCTTCTATTAGTATGACTGCAAGTTTTTAGCTAGCCTTTTTGACTAGCTAAAAAAATATCGAATTCAGCTTTCCTATTCTGAGTTTTTCTGCTAGAATCAAAATTACTCGCTACCGCTTGCTTCAGATAAATCTATGACTGTGACCCTCTACCGTATACCTACCGTAACCCCGCAGGGAGGCGTTTTCCTGCGGAGAGAAGGTGATATTCGTGATCAGCATGTCAGATAACCCCCTCAGGCCAAGTTTGAGCGAAATCCATGGGAAAAAAATTTTGGGGCCCGGATAGCCGAATAGCGCCCAAATAACCCCTCTAGACGAAGTTTCGGGCAAATCCGTGATTTTGACCCCCTACCGTATACCTACCGTAACCCCACAGGGAGGCGATTTCCTGCGGAGAAAAGGTGAAGTTCGTGACCAGCATTTCAGATAACCTCCCTGGGTCAAGTTTGAGCGAAATCCATGACTAAAAGATTTTGGGGCCCGGATAGCCGAATAGCGCCGTTTCATTGTTCTTAAAGGGGCAGTACATCGGCAGAATGAGACCCGTGACAAAACAAGGTCACAGGGTAGGAGCCCCATATGGAACCTATCGGCCAAAGTCCGATCTTTCTCTGCCATTCTAACCCCCGAAATTTCAAAGCAAAAGCAGCGCTCATCTCCTGTCCTCTCCGAACCCGCCCACCCCATGGACGAGTGAACGCGAAGCCGGTCATGGCGAAGACGCAGAGTCGTTGCGGGATCTCATGCTTATAGCATTGCGGCTGCGCGCTCTGACCGTGGAACTCACTCGTTCAGCGTGGAGGACATTAGGTCGCCGAATTTGAGAGTCCCGCGCGGATTCCTTGCAGGAACGCATGTCCGCGCATGTACAAGGGTGCGTATTTGTCGCAAATGACCGCGGGGACCGCCCTTTTTCGGCGACCTAATGTCCTCCACCCCTCGTCCATGGGGTGGGCGGGTTCGGAGAGGACAAGAGATGAGCGCTGCTTTCGCTTAAAAATTTCGGGGGTTAGAAGTGGCAGAGAAAGATCGAACTTTGGCTCATAGGTTCCACTATGGGGCTCTTACCCTGTGACCTTGTTTTGCCACGGGTCTCATTCTGCCGATCCACTGCCTTTGAGGCACGTCGCATGCGATTGTGCGTCTTCGGGCATGCCAGCGCGGGACCGATGCTGGTTGATACAGCGTATATATCAAAAAATGCGCCTTTTAAGGCTGTGGAGTACTGTCTTCCATAACTCCGAAACAATAATCTGAATGGAGTTATGATTATTTTTTCAAGAATGAATTGCGCTTGGAGGTTCAAAATCATCATTAAAAAATTTTCTTTTCTTTTCAAATGCGGAATATGATTTGATTAGGTATAAATACAACAGTATTCCTTTTAAGATTCTCCTCAATAGCCTCAAATGGTAATCTAGAACAAATTTGGTGATTTTAAATATCCAGAAGTACGCAAATATTCTACGAAAAAAGTTCGTAACTTTTTTCAAAAAAACGTTGCAGATATCAAGCACAGATTTAAACAGCTTTTGGAGATGCATCTTACGGTATAAATCGTATAAATTGCATTCCAAATGGCCGCAGTTACCAAGAGTCTTTCCCTTGTAAGAGATGAGATTTAGGTAGACCTTCTTGGGTTCGGATGGCTACAAATTGTCAAATTTATTTAGCTACTTACAAACTCAATGAAAACGCCGTGGAGTGATGCTATGCTTTGCTCGAGAATGCAAAGCATGTTGTTGTCATCAAATGATTTATCAAAGCTGTAGGGTTTTCAGCCTCAAGAAAATGCGAAAAGCATAAATAGCCGATTTGCATTACAATAAGTGCTCACTAACTTGGAAGGGTATTGAATCTAACATTGGAAGTACTTCGATGTTGTGTCCATTTGATTGGAAATGCATATCATTTGGAGCAGTCTTGAACCCTGTTAGCAAATCTTATTCCATTTCTGGTGAACGCTCCTCTGAAAGGAACTATGGAAGTCGAGAATCTAATTTTGGGCGCCCTTTGATATAGGCACTGCCAAGTATGTTAGCGGTGCAGTAATGTAGTGGGGTAGTGGTTAGCGCGCTGGCAATGGAGTCAAGAGGTGGTTCGAAGCCGGTGGATACAGTAGCGTACTCACTATTTCCGTGGGGGGGGGAGGTGCAACACAAAAATTGTTGCTGGCCCTGACCCCCAATATTCAAAAAAGGCTGCCGCCACGCCCCCAAACAAAGCTAATTTGCGTTTAAAAAATTTCTTCAATCTTGTCGGATGCATCTTGGAATGGTGATTCCAAAACAGTCTTTTTTAGCTGCAGAACGAATCTGAGTTGGAAATTATTGAATTTGATTACAGCGCCGAGTGCAGCCAAAAGTGGCAAGCCCCTGGAATCACCGTTCCACGTTGATTCAAATTTTACCCATCTCATATCAAACGCACAGCGGACTCCTGGCTCTTCCCTTGTAAGGCTCCATACACATTTGACGATGGATAACCATAACTGACGATATG